GGCATTTATACATGACCAGAAAACCAGAAAATTGTAGAAATTACAGTAAACGTCAGTCTCTAATGAGGTGAAAAGTGTGATAGCCTTACAAATGAACTTTCTTCTCAGTTTGCTTGCCTGAACATCACAAACAGTTTATTTCTAATGATGTTGTCAGCCACCAATTACACACACAGTTACTAAAGCACACGTTATCGATTTCACTATCAGAAGCAACGATGATGAGGATGATGAATTTCATTGCAGGGCAATGTGTCACAGAGCGTGCACTGGTTTTTTTGGACAGCTGGGGTGTGGAGCTAGTCTGGTTACTTGTTTGTCCATGAGTATCTGTTTATATAAACTATCTCTTACATCCTGTCGATGAACTCATCGTAGAATCGTTGTTTTTGTGCAGTAGTATGCTTTAACATCGTTTCAATGCCTGTTTTATTTGACCAAGCATATTCATTTTGCTATCATATCTGTTAAAGAAAGACATAAAATCCTCACATTATAAAAGCTGGAAATAGAGAATAATTCCCATCTCTAGTCATGCTAGCAGTGTGGCGCTGGGGATGTCGGTCTGTCCATCACTTTGGCCCAGACTGATACATCTATATATTTATATATTGTTAATTTGCTGTCAGTCGACTAACTGATACAGTAAATCAGATAACTGTTTCAGTCTTCAAATTTAGGATACAATAATCTAAGTCAATTTTCCTAATTCACATATAGATAAATCAAAAACTCTTTTTTTAAATTCTACTATAGGGTCACACTTTGACGGTACTGAAAATAAAAATGAAAGAAAAAAAATTACAGGCTGATGTTCGCATTTGCATGCAAAATATTTTGTTGTAAACATTTTTCCCTGTTTATCCGAATACAGTATGTTACCACCGACAGAACTACGAGTTTGACTTTTTTATGACTCTTTATTATTGACACCCCCCACTCTCAGTCAGACATATAAGAGGCCCGGCCCGGCAGACAGGTATCCACACGGTTTTAAGGGTTTAATATTTTGTATAGAGGCTGTGTATGGGTTGTTGTTACGATTTGTGCCAGGAGTACTAGTCCATGTCTGAGCCCCTTGATGTCTGCTGAGTTCACTAGGGTTGGTATTGGAGAGACTGGGACTGCTGGGGGTGACCACCATGCTGGAGTCCTACCTCCCAGAGTTTGTGTGTGTGTGAGTGTGTGTGTGTCTGTGTGTCTGTGTGTCTGGGACTAAACCACATTTGATTTTTATACGCTTGTGGCTAACAGGAGCCAGATGTAGCTGCCTCCAGGGAGCTTACCATCGAAACCGCCATTTATTTCTCTTTTTCACTCTTTAATGAGATGTGTGCATGCTTACATACATACTTGAGTGTGTACATATGTTCAAATAAAAGCAGCCAATAAGCCACAGCAGCATTTGCAATATTCCTCTATCAGGTAACAGAGCTGGTATGACTTAGCTGCTAAACAAGCAGTGTCAAAGACAGGATGTGTCCTGTTCAGATGACAGAGCACGAGAGTGACGACATCCCTGATTTCATCACATAACAAATAAATCAGAAACAATAAATCAGGGTGTCAAAGCACTGAGGACCCGCAGTTTTCTATGAGCTGAACCTGGCCATGAGACAGAAGAAGATTCATGAAGCCTAAGTGAGAGGTGACGTAAGAACTGAGCACACTCTCACACAAACACAGACAAATAACAGACAATTAGATGATCAGATCAGTTATTAATTAGTAACAATATAGAATTGGAATTACTGCATCACAGTTTTAAGACTGTTCTCTTCTAAACATAAACATATAGTATTGAAGGAGAGAGCAGAAAGCAAAAGATCGAGAAAGAAGGGAGAGTTTTAATTGAAAGCGAATGTGTCTGTGCTGGCTGCTGGTCAGAGATGGGCCGGGGTCCCAGTTGGCTTCCACTTCAAAGGCCCTACCCGCCTGTCTCGAGCGCACCTGCAGCCGGTTAAACCCTGCTCTCATCACTCAGGGCGTGGAGGGACCTCTCCTACAACTTAGAACCCTCAAGCCTTTTGCCAAAGAGACGTGATGTCCCGCACTCAAGAGTTCAACCTAAAACACGAGCCCATACAACCTTCACTACAGAACTAAATGTCAATCACACTGTGTGAGTGCTCACAAAACAGCCACAGCAGGTTTCCTGCAGCCCCTACCACAGGGTCTTTGCCAACCCCGTCACAGGTCACACAGGGCTCGTATAACCATCACAATACGATCTGAACAGGGGGTTTCACGGACCTCCAAATATATATCAATTTGTGACAGAGATAGCCAATAACAAAGTGTTTTTGCTCTGTTTTTGTTATGTTACATTACAAAGTTTTCAGAGGGAAACTTACAGGTTACAAATATATTCATAAATGTTCTCATATGTGGGCGACTGTGGCTCAGTGGCAGAGCAAGGTCACCCTTCAATCGGCGGTTCGATACCTGGATCCGCTAGTCCATGTCGGTGTTATTGGACAATTAACCCCTACTTGCTCCAGTAGGCTGTGCCAGTCGGATGATAATTCTTTGTGGGTTTATCACTACGAGCATCTTCTTTCAAATAACAAATCATTTATCCATTTTTAATATGAAAATATTGAAAAGCAGCTTCAAAGTTGAACCCAAAAATAAAGAAATATATTTTCACCACCTAGCTTTGCTATTTAACTATTTTTTTTGTTTCAATGTGAAACATTGACGAGAAGGCAAGAAAAACATTAACGGTCTTATTCTCGATTTGTTTTTGTCAGTCAACAGTTTTTGACTGTCAGTATTTTGCTGACTGTAATAGTTAAAAGCAGACGCCCTGACAAAAATAAGTCAAATTTTTGCTTACATATGCACACGTTCATAAACACAATTGCACACACACAAGATCCTCACCACATGTCATAATCCTAAAATAAATGGATCCGCTTTTTGACCCCAAATGAGAGCCTCCAATACAAGAAACAAACCTGGTATTGGATTAATTAATTAATTAATAATTAATAATTTCATGGTTTAATTGCTCTTGTCTCTCAACTCCTGCATAAACAAATGAAAAACACAAGCTGCTACCGATAAAAACATGGGCAGCTGTTCTACCAATGATTTCAGTCTTTGGTTTACAGAGTGACTCACTCCTTATCCTGTGTGGAAAAAAAACAATGTTTCAGAGTTCAATTTACTGATTCACTGTTACCTCAGCTAGCCATGTGACCAGCTGCCCATGACCTGCAGTGTACGTCACACAGTTCCCTACTAAGACCGGAAACCACTCAGCACAAACTCAGTTCCACAAAGAGGGAGCAAGGAGACACTGTGCTGTCAAAATAACCAGCATCCACAAAGGTAAATTTCAATTTGGATTATTTAAAAACATTTAACTCTATGAAATATGAAATTTAAACAATAGAAAAGGAAAATCAAAGCAGTCTGATTTAAGTTGATCCCAGTCTACCCTATATCTAATGTTAATGATTTATGTCTGATTATCTGTTCGTATCATTGGCCCATTCTATGTATTGCCAGTGGAGCATGCTTCTTTTCTCCTAAGAAGTGTCTTAGGATATCCCTTTAATGTCATCTGTATCACCTGCTCTACAGCCAGTCTGTGTGTGTCTATGTGTGTGTGCATGCTCCCAATTTGTCCAGCATGACGGCATCCTCCAGCAACCTATTCTATTAGTTATCACCATCACATTTACAAACACTTATTGTGTTGACAAAATCTATTATTGCCAGGCTACCCTGGGGATAAAGTAAGAATGGGTCACAAGTATGCAGGGCTTAGCCCTGTAGAGGCCAACCATGATGGGTACATACTGTGGCAGCAGTTATGGATGTGTCTGTGTGAGCATTTGTTTTGCATCTGTGCAGGCACAAACTTTCTCTCAATGTACATACCTTTCAAGAGCTCTGGAGTTCCAGCACCTCTGTTTGTTCAAAGCAGTTCATCTCTGTCAGCAGATCTAAATTTACAGGACAATAAATTATCACAGATCTGGTTCTCTGGCACACTCATGCACACGCACATTATGGCTGGTCTGTCTCTGGAGGACTGTGTATTTTTAGGGTCTGTGTTGTATTCTGACCTTTCATTAGCTTTATAGATAATGCCACTGGATTCTCAGCTGATTATTATCCAAACAACCACTCAGGCCTGGTCCTTTTATCTTCACGGCTACTTAACACGCAGAAATTATGACAGTATTAGATCCATCTACGATAAGTACTCCTGCAAGGATTCAAATAAAATTATTTTGAATGGAAACGTTCAAGACTTCCTATCCTCATACGAATGATGTCTTACAAAAAGTTACCCCTCAATTTTTGTGCGTTTTCCTTCTGAAAGCCAGCAACACGTGTCAATTTTGATGCTTGTTACCTGCTTACGGTCTTTACAAAATAAACTTTCGTCCCCACAGGAAACTACTCAGTTGGTTTAGGCAACAAAACTACTTGATTAGGTTTAGGAAAAGGTCGTTGTTTTGGTTAACATACCCACGGCAGTGCCGTAACTACATTATTCATGTTACGTGACAAATACGTAGATCAACATTCTCGTTTTACATGGGGAATGAACAGACTGAAAAGTCACTGGTTGTTGGACCCATCCACCGCCTCTTCCAACCACCCTGTGTGCTTTTGGATATCTACAAATTAAGGCGCATTCTTTTTCGTAGGTATAGCTACAAAGGCTGGATGAGACCCGCCTGAGTTGCGTGATGTTATTATAGTGTAGATGATACATGAAATACGATCCAGGAAGTCCAGTTTGAGTAATAGATTGTGTCAACTCAACAACAATGTCCCTTTCCAGAAAGACACATTGCTGTAAAGTTTTTCAAATGTATTTTTTGGTGCTTTGAGCACGTGTGGTCCCATTATATTAGAGAGAAGGCAGACATCTCCACAGCTGATATCTCCAAAACTAGGCAACTCGCATCAAAACAATTTAGATTGATAAATAGCACTACAGGTAAGAGGAAAAATATGTATTTCTGATTGGAGGGGTGAACTGTCCCTTTAAGGGTTTATCAGTAAGGCAATGACAAATGAGGTATTTTGTCTCTTAGTTGATAATGATGTTGAATACAGTAACCCCACCTCCCCCCCGCCCCATCATTCATACAATTGCTTCAGTTGATCTCCTTTTTGTCTTTGTCCTTCTTTCACCTGTCCCTTGTTCCTGTTCCATCCAGTGTTGAGTTTGCCCCTGCGTGTCCCATCAGTATGGGGACTTCGCCAGGTCTGACGACAGGCTGTCCTCTCTCCTCAACCTGCCAGGGGATGGGAATACACCCTGAGCTCATTCCTGGACTGCCTATAGTGACAGCCCACAGCATAATCCCCACAGGGGACACATTACTGGGCTATTAGTCCAACTCTTTCACCTACAGTGCATGCCTCTGGCTTGCTCTTGGTTCATTTAGCCCATTCTCTTTTCCCCCTGCAAGTCCCTTATCAGTACTCTGTATTTTTCCTCTCAGGAGTTGGTTGCCAGATCAGACCTCGTACATCAGGGCAAACTTTTCCTCCAACTGAGAGGAAGGCATTTCACTCTGTTATTGTTTATGGGGAGAAAGCTGGGGTCAAGTTCACAGGCTGAGAGAGAGACCAAGAGAGAGAGAGAGAAAGTCTGTTCCAGCTCCAGCCGCATGAGAGAGAAGCATAACTCAGCCGTGTTTGTGCTTCCCTAATTCCTTTTTGATTTAGCAGAAAATTGTGAGCTAAGCTGCAATGCACAAATATTCACCGCCTGTGACAAACCTGTACCCACTGTAGTCTGTGTGTTTGTGAATGTGCCTGTCTCTGAAAACATTTAAACCAGTGTGTGTCCCATTCTGACAGCAGCCTGCTTTCCGAGCTCTGAGCAGAAATACAAATGTCTCTAAAAGGAGCTTAGCTTTAACAGCAGCTTTGGCATAAACACTTGAGCTTTTTTCTCAAGCTTTCGATGAAATAGGAGTTTGCGACAGCTAGAGCTAATTTGTTTCAATTCCAACAAGGATTTTCCCGATTTGTTTACTTGTTTGTTGGCATTAGTGGGTCAGCTGAATCAACTTTGGTATTCTTAATCCAATATCACAAACTCCCCAGAGAAGTTCAAGTCTACACTGATAAGAACAGTGCAACAAAAGTGTCTGTTAACAAGTGGAGCAAGTCATTTTTTCAGTTCAAGATTTTTGGATTCCTAAAATTAGGTTTTGATTTGTTAGGAGTCATTCAAGGACTTGATATTTGATAATGGATGACAGACCGCTACAAAGCCTGATGACAACCTCAAGATGCATGCACGCATGGGAAAAAAGGTAAGGATGGTTGCTCTCTCGTGTGCGTGCGTGTGCGTGTGTGTGTGTGCTTTATTCGAGCGCTGTCTCAGCACTCTCTCTTACACATGTGGTTCATATTTAAGACATAGTGCTGTTCCACTGGACGATTTGGCTCTGTTCTCCAAGTCCCACATTCCCTTCCCTTTCCTTTTTTCTCTAACTTTCATTTCTGCTATGCTTTAGGTGGTGCACGGCTGCAGGCATAACAAATATTTAAATTAGTATTTGTAAATAATAACCATAATCATAACTTAACTGATGTCACAGATTAAATTACTTCTTTATCAGGGACAGCACTCATTACGCGAATATGATGAAACTGCGCCACATTTAGCCAAAAGGCTTAGTTTTATCTGCAACCCCCAGGTTGATATTAACATTAATGTCTATGTGAAAGGTGTATGTGGGGAACAGCATGAGGAGTAGAAATACAATCATATACATATCCAAGGAATATGATTATGTTGAATAATTATAATGAATTGACAATAACAATAGATGTTGGATAAAATAATATCTGGGTGAATACCATAGCCACTAAAATAAATCTGTGGCTGCAATTAACAATTGGATTTCCAACATATACTTGGTGTATGTAGGGTCTCTGGTTATTTTGCTGCACCCAATGATTGCATCATAAATCAAGAATGGAAAATACCCTTTAAAATATGAAAAAAACACATTTTCGTGTGATTTAATTATCCAGTTTTACTGGGTTGTAAAATGAAGGCGCCATCATCAATAACTATTGGGGTTACAGATGCACTTCTCACATTCGGACCGTCTCGACTCGACCACAACAGCACCATCGCCCCTTAACCCCAGCAACACACACACACACACACACACACACACACACACACACCCACACACACTTCCATCCATCCCTCTTTAATATCTCCTACCTATCAAACTCTGTAACCCCTGCATCTGCCCAATGGGCAAGAGGAGCCGTCAGCAGCGAGCCCTCCCTCATCTCTCTCTCCCTCCCTCCCAGCTCTGACTCTGTCCACAGCGCACTGATAAAGGAGAGGTCCAATGTAAGCATCCGACCCAGCACAGAGTCACAAAGTCGACAGAACTGCTGCGAGTCACGCAACTCCCACATTTTGGCTCCAGCTATGATTCGGATCCTATTTCTGCCTCTGAACTAAGGCAAAATCAAGGATACGTGTTGGGGACCTGACTGGAGAGGTGAAAAAAACACTTGTTGCTCGTGTGGTCAGGTAAACCTCCTGTCGGCAGCCAGAAGTGCTCAGTGGAGAGTCTGGTGCGCACATGGCACCGAAAACGCGCTCCTCACACTCCTGACAGTCGCGCTATTAATATGGAGCTACACACTGGATAATGAGGCCTACCTTCTGAATGGGTGCTTAGCCGACATCACATCAAACCTCGTTTGTTAAAGCCCCCCCGCCCCCCCAAATCTTTAATTTTTGGGGAACTTTTCGTGGTTTAAAAAAAAGCGTAGAGTCATGTTGGGTTTAAACAGGATTCTGAGCCTCCGGGCTGCCCGGATTCGGAGCTGTGGTTCGCCGGGAGCCAAACTCTCCCCCCGGTCTTCTTCATGCCAAAACCACGGTGCCAGTTCGAGGATTTACTGTGCGTGTCTGTTGCTGCTGCTGCTGGTGACGCCTCGAGTGGACTCTTCATGGTGGTGAGTATTGTCTGCAGACATCACACCTACAGGCCTACCTGCCTGCCAACATTTAGGGGATCCGAATTTGTTTTTGGAAGAACTGCTAAGTACCCTAAATGATTATTATTATTATTATTATTGTTATTATTATTATTATTATTATTATTATTAACTAAATTTGATCGGGAGCCTAACTGTGAAGGGAAGGAAATGGCACATGATTTTGAACATCAATCATTGATCTTAATCATTTGAAATGGAGCTGGGACTGTCTATAGCCTTAGTCTTTCGATAGAAACTTCAGGGATTCAAATTGCCAACGAATTTGACGTATGATGACCATGTTAATAACCCCTTTCCAAAAGCAAAACCCGTTCCAATTAATTCAAGGCAGCGATTTGTAGACATTATGAGGTTTGAGGGTTTGATCACTTATTATCGCCGAGTCACTGTATATGCCGACATTGCTTTTTTGCATCGATGTTGCAACATCTTAAACTTTAGCATTCTTGGTCTTATTTGTGCATTTTTGCAGCAAATCATTTGAACACATTGCGGTTTATTAAAAAAAAAAAAAAAAAAAAAAGTGTTTCATAGGCTATTATTTGTCACGAATGAATGCGTTGCCTTGTGATTTTTTATGGGGAAACGACTGCAATGAGAAACGCAAATGTGTTTTTATCTATCACCACTCAATTTAATTCAAAATGATATGCTCCTGAAAAAAGAGTAAGAAACACGATGGGACATTAAAATAACCTATTTATTATTAGTTTGTGAACTATTCAAGCGTCTTTCAGGTTTAGTTCCTGATAGGCATTTTATCTTCATGTCAGTTTGTTGGCCTGCCACATTGTGCAATAATAATAGAGCGATAAATGTAATTTATATTGGCGCTGTTGGCTGAGCGCGTGTTGAGCAAAGGATGGGGCCTGCGTTCAACAAGGCAGAGCAGTCATTAATTCACCAGGTACCACGCGCAAATTACTTCACTAAAATACCCCAAAACCAGCCATCTAGAGCATAGGTGAGGGTTGAACAAAATATCTCGTTGCCTGCGCAATAACATACGTGAAAATATCCATGTGTGTGAGTGTGTTTATGAGAGAAGTGTCTGTGTGTGGGCGGGTATGGGAGTGATGGAATGCCTAATAGTTTGTGTAGATTAAAAGCAGTTATGGGGAGTAGTGGGACCAGCGTGTGTGTAGAGGCTTTGGGCATTATTGGCTTTGAGGGGAATTTAGTTTAGGGGATACAGTCTCTAACTGTTTATCACATTTCTGTGGGTGTACAATAAGTGATGACAGATCCGGGGCTTTATGATAGTGGGATGTTCGAGCCATTTGAGAAAGGTGAAAAAGCATAAATAATGTAATACAAAGACACCATAATACATGCATTCTCATGAAATTAGATTTTTTTGTAAAATATAAAAAGTTACTGATAACATTTAAGAAAACGATCAGATTATTCGTCTTTTTTAGTGTTTCTTGTGATTCAATAGCGCTTGAGAAGATGGCATGGCAACAGAGGTCGATGTAATATCAGCTGCGTCATCAGAAGTCAATAAAAGCCTTCCATTTGTGTCCCACTTGTCTTTCTTCTATGATTCACTTTATAGTCGCAGGGCTTCACAGCATGTTGTTTTAGACCTGTGGATAATGATTTACTATCCTATTAAATCCACAAGTCCTCCTGACTCTCAGAGAGAAAATTAAGTGTGAATTGCTGCTCTGGCTCTTTCCTTTGATGAGCACTCTGTTCTTATTCCTCCTCTCTAATCCCACTCTTGGGAGCAGAGAGCCATCTCCATCCTCTCGTCCAACCTCGTAAAACACGACCACACAGCTACACGCTCCCTGACCTCCACTCGCTGACCCGCCAAAACCCTGCAGCCACCGAGCTGCAAGAGGTCTCATGCACACACAATTAGCTTTCCGGTAATATTTTCGTGGTAATCTCAACGCAGCATTTATCTTTTTAGGATACTGTAGGAGTCTATTTTATCAAGGCAGGGAGAAAGATTGGAGGCATACAAGAGAACTGTGAGTATGGTGAGCATGAGAGCGAACAGACAGAAGACAGAGAGGAGTAAAGTGAGTAAATGGGGACTTAGTTTGACAGGGTTATTGGAGGCCCCAGACTTCGTGCTCTGATTTGTGACGACATGATTTCAACTATTCCACTGGGAAACATTTGAACACACACACACACACGCAGGTCTTGTGGGGAGAGGTTAAGTGCTTATTTATTTGGAGAGCAAAGTAAATGGTTTCCACTCCCCTCCTGCTCGCAAACCTGAAACTGTTAAGTGTAGTGAACTCTGACTCACAGAGGACTGTTACTGCAGCTCTCGTTCACGCCACTCAACACCTTCGAGCGTGTGTATCCACATGTGTAAATCCCCACCATATGAGGGCGCCTATGTGTACTAATTAATTGCAAAATACCATCAATCACTGCTGTGACTTTGTATTCTGCATATGAGTCCTTTTAAATGAAGTAGACGTTTTGTGTGTCTATTGCGTCTGCAGGTACATTGGTGCGCTGGGGGCCCGTGTGATCTGCGACAACATCCCAGGCTTGGTGAATAAGCAGCGGCAACTCTGTCAGCGCCACCCAGACATCATGCAGGCCATCGGCGAGGGCACCAAAGAGTGGATCAGAGAGTGCCAGCACCAATTCAGACACCACCGCTGGAACTGCAGCACACTGGACCGCGACCACACCGTGTTTGGACGTGTCTTGCTACGGAGTAAGTCAATGGGTGTGTCTACATATCTTCCTGTCTAATTACTGATTGTGGCCAAAGAGTAGAGATACTGAGTCTGAACCTGAGCCCCATCTGCCCCTATCTCACTCTTCATTCTCCTCCTTCATTTTTACGGCCTGTCCCTTCTTCTCTCCGTCCATCTCCGCTCACTCTGTTCTTTCTCCGATCTTTCCCTCTCACGTACGCTAGTGCTCCGTGTTTATAGACCCTAATGGACTGTTGTAATGCCTTACGCCTCGTCAATAAACACACAGGCTTCAAGACGCAGGCTTGTCATCATTTTGTTTTTCCACTCCTGCCAGACCTCTGTGCTGTGTAATAGATGCATGCCTTTACGCATATGCAAACGGGCGCACATGCATGTTACAACATACGTATTTTTCAACTCTCTTTGTAGAGAGTGCATGTATACTTCCTCCTCCTGAAGAGTTTTATAACTGCACACTGTCTGAATCATGAATATTTATTGAATAATAGAGCGACAGGGGCTCGTCTGTAAAAACACCTGATAGGAAAGGTGTCCTCCACCAGCTGGCTATTTTGCATGAAAGATTAAATGATAAAAGTTCTATAAATTGTCCATCACACATTATTTTGCAATGATACTGCAGTAGCCATTATTTATCATTACAGTTGCATTCTGAATGCAGGGCATGTACGCAGTGATGCACCTGTAAGTCACTGTTACATGCAGTGGAACCAATAAAATGCTAATCTAATGCTACATCTTTGGGGTTATGGTTGTGGCCTATATGCTTTCTCTTGAATTTGTTGCTTTTGGAGCAAGGCATAAAGGTAAAGGCTTAATTTACAGTAGTTCATCGTAGTGAATCTGGATTCAGGCTGCATAAAATAAGGTGCTTGTCTCCACAGACTTAGTATCAGACGTTCTACTCTCTCTCTTCCATCCATCCTAAGCTTGTGTGGGGGTTAACAATGCATGGAAAAAAACAGGAGATATGGAGATACAGGCTGCGTGTGTGGAGGACAGGAATAAACAGTAATGTAGATGTAAATATTTAGAGAGATATTCTCACTGTCAGGCAAACAACGCAGATTTGAATGATGACCAGCAATACCTTCCTCCATCCTCCCCCACACACGCCGCCTCAACAGCACCCACTGCCCCCTTCTCCTCACCCTAGAGATGGAATAGGACATTCCAGTGAATGTAGAGCAAGTAGGTTGGACCACACAATCTCATCTAGCCTTGGCTGGTTCAGATTGTTTTCAGATACAAAAGTTCCCCACTGTTATTCATTTATTATCAGTACTCTATCAGCTAGTTTTTGTGATGTTATTTTAAAGTGCTGGTACTTGAGTATTTCCCAATTCCTAAACATAGGAAATATAGCTTCACTCATGTATTTATGTGTTAGTCTGCAGTACAGTGTTGTAAATTCAAATGACCAAAACAGCAACATTGAGGTTGCGATCAAACTAAAACAATTATGTGTGTGAGCATGGTTAGAAACAGAGACAGTTGTGGTCATGCATGTTTTGGCAGCGCTCAGAGACAAATACATAGACTCTTTGCCTCATATTGCATGCGTGAGGCACAAGTGAAACACCAGCCATTATGTGTCCCGTGTAGACAGCTGATTTGATTAAAATACAAACTGGGGCTGGCCATTGTGGCCTAAAAAAGACATTTTGATTCAAGCTTGGGCATGTCAGATGCACGTGAGATGGATGACTGAAAAACACGGCTGAAAGGAATTCTATGTTGACAAGGTCTAAAAATGGTTTATCCTCTTGGGAGCTGAATGTCTTCACAGCAACCTGCTGATTACATAATGAGTTATTGGGTATTCAAAGTTGACATTTCAACCTGAAGGTTAAAGGAAACCTAAAGTGGGGTCCAAAATAGAAAGAGTTCATCATCTGGGGAGCATGAGTATACGTTTTATTAGATACTGATGTTTCTTGTGTGTCAGTAAAAAAATGGCTTGCTAGTGGCACAAGATGGAAAGCTTGCATGGTCACCAAAAACATCAGGATTCATGCTCTGGTAACCACAAACCTCAGCAGCAAATGTAATAGAAATTCTTTATGATTATGTGTCATGTTTCATAGCATTGGTACCAGATGGTCGTCAGGGGGCCAGGGAGGTGGACAAATCATTACGAGCCATGACAATTTGAATTTAATGTTATGGCTGAACGTATGAATTGCAATTCTTACTTTCTATGATTGTGAATAAGACATACATGCCGAAAAGACAATTCTCGTACGTAGTTAATAAAGTTGATGTACAAAAAAAGCTAACTCAACCACAAGAGCACAGTGCAGCACCCAGACGATGGACAGCACGCACATTTTGTAGTTTATCTTCAAAACAGGCAAGCATTTGGGCACATTTTTTATTTAATATTTTTAATAGTTAGCTCTGCAAGACAAAAGAGAAGCGTCTTGTGGATACTTTGTACCCCCTCACCCAGAGACTACTAGCTAATGTTAGTGGAGTGGACCACCAACGCATGAGACCAGCTGATCAACTCACACTGCAGCGGCTTTGCAGCGTTTATAACAATGGCTTTTCTCTTTAATAACACTGCAGCACAGGGGCTGTTCTCCACACTCGGAGATATGACGTTAACAACAACACAGTGGAGCTCTCTGCTTCCTGTAAGATTCTCAGTTGGACTTTTATATGTACAGTGTAATTAAAATATACAGCTTTCAGTATCTGGCTTTTACTTCACAAGAAGCCAATTCATACAGAGGATTAATTTACTCACTGGGGAAATGAGAATCTAATTTCAGGTGCATCATTTTATTCTATCTGAAACAGCATTTGAGTCGTTTCAACTTTTAAGTACAGATGCACCAAGTGAAAACTACATTTGTCTGTTAGGCTGTGACTAAAGATGGACAAGCTCTTCTGCCTCTGGCTGTTGTCTTTTAAAGGTATTCACTCCCAGGGGCGCTGCAAAAAGCAACTGCGACTAAACACTATATCTAATTCTCTATGTGTCTTTGGCCACACAATAAATGACTCATATTCTAAGGAACTAGAGACCAGAAAAGCACAGCAATGGTAGAAAATGCTGTCATGACATCACCCTGGTGCTGATTAATGGGGTATCACTGTGTCTGTATTTAAACAATTTATGTGAGCAGAGGAGAGCCCCGCAGCTGGGATTATTTCCATGATAATATTTAAACAGAGCTGTCCTATACTCCACATCAGGCCTGATATGCCCCCGTCAGCTGCACCCTCATGTTCTGATGGCTCACACCCAGGCCTGGTCATGGCATTAAGTGTATCTGTGCATGCATGTGGGGTGCACAGTTTTTAGGTCTTTAGGCTGTACAAAATGTATTGTATTTCATGATATCAGTAACTACAATTTCTGTATTCAATAATAGATTGTGTTATTTCAACCTCTACCTCAGTCTATACTCTATATTTTATTATTTTTTGCTTTTGTGCTTTCTCTCTTTCTCAGGCAGTCGTGAAGCAGCATTCGTCTACGCCATCTCCTCAGCAGGAGTGGTGTATGCGCTTACTCGCGCCTGCAGCCAGGGGGAGCTGAAAATGTGTAACTGCGACCCGCACAAGCGGGGACGGGCTAGCGATGAGAGAGGAGAGTTTGACTGGGGTGGCTGTAGTGATAACATCAACTATGGGATCAAGTTTGCCAAAGCCTTCATAGATGCCAAAGAGAGGACAGTCCGAGACGCACGGGCACTCATGAACCTACACAACAACCGCTGTGGCAGAACAGTAAGTGTGTGATTACAGCGGCATCAATTAACCCAAATACATATATCTAGCTTTGCAGGTTTATGTTTTATTTGTTTGGGATTTGATAAATCTGCATCTTGGACCCCATTTACACCTGGTATTAACATGCAATCCTTTTCTGGCAACGTTATGTTGGTAATGATAACAGGCTTTTTCCTGGTATTAAGCATTCTTGTTATCAAGGTTCCACCTGCACTGTGATCGAATCTCTATAATGATGTAGGTGGAGCAGACAAACTAGTTGATCCAGAGTTACGTTACCCATCAACTTCTTAGAGAGATTATTTTCTTAACAACGCAGACAAACTGTATACAGAGCGCATTCACACCTTGCTGGGATCCAATCTCAATACAATGCCATTCCAAATTACAATGCATTCTGGGTGCATTTTAGGGCTGTCCGTTTTTATTTGAATTTCAAACGTCAAAAGTTTGAATGTGGGAAAAGATTCAATATTTGATCTGTAACTCTTCATAATTGTCAGGTTATAAGTGTTCACAGGTCGTGTCCTGTGCTCCTGCAGGGGGGCTCTTACAAGGCACTGTTAGGAGATATGATAAGCTGCCTAGGGTTCCATTCAGATTTGTTTCATTCAGAACTTGCATTTACACCTTGCGTTGAAATGTGTTCTTATACAGATACAATTTTCAGTTACAGATCACATGTTAATACAAAGTTGAAATTGGATCTGAGTTGTTTGTCGCCAACCCAATGTCGGTAAAAGGAATTTTGTCTGTGGTGCTCACAGTTGTAAAAAAAACACTTTCAGAGAATTCAACAGCACATGTCTCCATATCTCTGGGTAATCCAGGGACTTCACTGTCAACAGTTAAGGGACTATTAGTAGCTCAGATGAAGCCTTCACTAAGATCTGTGGATCATCCAGGGTGAAAATCCTTTTACCTCCATTGTCTTGCAGTGGAGGCAGAAAAGTCAGAGGTGGATATCTATCTTGAAACCTCGGCAGATGAAACCAAATATTATCTACAAGAACTAGATACCACTAGAGCATTAGGTGAGAAATATGTTTTTATAAAATTAGGTTACATTTTTATGTCTTAACGCTGCATTTACAGAACATGTAAAACCAAATGTCAAGATGGCTAAATACATACACACAATAACCACTTCTCTCTGTTTTTAGGCAGTGAAGCGGTTCATGAAGCTGGAGTGTAAATGTCACGGTGTGAGCGGCTCTTGCACACTGCGGACATGTTGGATGGCCATGTCAGACTTCCGGAAGACCGGTGACTACCTGAGGAGGAAATACAACGGGGCCATCGAGGTAACGATGAATCAGGACGGGACAGGCTTCGCTGTAGCTAACAAAGCCTTCAGGAAGGCCACCAAGAACGACCTGGTCTACTTTGAGAACTCTCCGGATTACTGCCTACAAGACAAAACAGCAGGTAAAATGGCAAAAAGAGAGAAGAAGAAGGTGGACTGGATTGAAAGACGAAGAAAGGCAGTTTCTCATGGCCGTTGATGGATTGTCTCGACTGTGTTATGTTTTAGGGGTGTTAAGTGTATGTTGTGTGTATGTTCATGCATGACTAGTGTGTTTGTGTGTGTGTGAATGTCAATGTGTGTGTGTGTGTGTGTGTGTGTGTGTGTAATGGTAGTCAGATAACACAGCAGGACTCCTGTGTGATGTCAGTGGAAGGTAATATCCTTGTACCCTGGGGACGTTCTGTGACCACCTGACCTCTATCAGTCTCTGTCAACACATACACACATACATATATATATACACACATACACACACCCCTATGGTTGATCAACCTTTGCACAATACACCCAATTAGTTATGACTGTTTCTGATTGGCCGGTTGATGGATGAAACACTGTCAAACCAACTTTTACAATAGTTGACATCAACACCTCCATCACTCAGAATCTCTGTCCAGTTCTTCCTCGCTCCCTTTGTCTGCCCTCTCTCTTCGTCCCATCATCCATCCTCCCCCTCTTTCTCACCTTCCCAGTGGAATCCACAGCCTAGGGACACAAGCAGCTAATTTAAAAAAAAAAAAATCACTTCTTTCTGTCTGTCACAGTCTCTCCCTCTCTGTCTGTCTGAACTAAGCGTAGCTGGAGGGCAGAGTGGGCCTCAGAGTGTGAGAGCCTGTCTGTCTGTCACGCTCCACTGTCCATTTAACCCTCACACGCACATGCATGCACACACACACACATGCACATACAGAGAGTGGCTTCAAAGGGAGCAGTGGCTTGGGAAAGGCAGTGTAACTATAGGCCACTCTACCAACACTGCATAGTTGTGTGTGTGGGTCTGTTGTTCTATGGGCAGCTTGTTGTGATAGGTAGCAGTTCAAACAGGGAGCTTCTCACACGAAACACCAGCACTAATCTCTGTGGGGATGCCATTCACATAAGACACAGACAATATGCCACTGCATTAGGCAACATCCAGAGTGCTAAACATTACAAAAATGCATTCAACAACGGTGATGCCACTGCAGATCCAACATTGAACCAAATGGTTCAAATGAACTAAAGTGAAACTATGATATTTGTAATAACGCAAATTTAGTAAAGGTCCAGCCTGGAACATAAACTTGTTTACTGTATATCCTGAGCTTAACTCCATTTGTCTAGATAGAGATGGTGATGTGTTTCTTTTTAAAACTATTCTATTGAGCATTCATGTTTTTATTTGTCTTTGACAACAAGCCTAAAGCTGTCAAGGGTTAATCCCGTCGCATCATATCTTTCAAATCGTAATTTTGAGTAGCTGGGCTGTAATTCTGAGTGGGTAAATATCTACGATATCTCTCGCTTGGTAAAAAGAACTACAGAAGTTTCAACAAAATGCTGGCAATATGGCTGCAAAGTAGGGTTGCACAATTCATTTAAATTGTGTCGATAATTGCAATACAGCAATTTTCAAATCGAAGCAGGCGAAATGGGTAAATCAAAATACAAATTCAATATTGTTGTGCTGCAGAGATGGCCTACACATATTCCACTTTTTCTCTTTGTTTGCTACAGCTCCACACAAAAAGTACGCCATAAGTATTTTAATGTTTTTCAATGAAAATGAGAATAATGATGATAATTGAAATCATCAGTCCCTCTAATATCCCAAATCATATCACCATTGCAAAATAAGGTCAAAATAATCGCAATTCGATTTTTTTTTTCAAAATTGTTCAACCCTACCGCTGTCACAAAATTAAAATCCAATATTAACACCAATAGAATCAATTAAGCTCATTTTAAATGGGTCAATTCGCAGTTTTTTTTATATCTGGTTTCATAGCTTAAGTAGCACAGCAAAAGCAACTAATTTAAGCTATTTAAATTGTGTAACCTAACCCTCTTGGTATAACACGTCTTGCTTTTCATTTCGGCGCCCATGTTAACAGGTTAGCGCGGCCACACAGCCCGACTGCTGCGGCTCATAAGCCTGTGGTGTCCACACATAGAGCTGCTACTGCCAGCTCTCAACAGATCGATTCTTTCTGAGAAAAAAGTGTCCATCACCATTTCCGAAAGCCAAATGTAACATATTCAAATTACTTGTTGTGTCCAACCAATAGTAAAAAGAAATATATATTCAATTCCAGCAATTCCCCACTATTGAGAAGGTGATGTCTGGCTTTTAGCTTGAAAATGTATTAAGGTATTAATGGATTATCAAAAGAGTTGCAGATTAATGTTTATTTGTTGTTTTCAGTAGAATAATTGTCAGAGAAGTAAAACATAAAAGACCAGAAACTAACTTTAGTTCACTTTGAGCTTTTATTGGCTAACTCTTTGTGCTCTGTGCAGGCTCCCTGGGCACGGCTGGGCGGGTCTGCAACAAGACATCACGCGGCACGGATGGCTGTGAGGTCATGTGCTGTGGGCGGGGCTACGACACCACGAGAGTCAAGCAAATCACTAAGTGCGAGTGCAAGTTCAAATGGTGCTGCGCCGTGGAGTGTAAGGACTGTGAGGAAGCTGTGGACATACACACGTGCAAAGCTCCCAAGCGAGCTGAATGGTTGGACCAGACCTGAGGACGCGCCCCCTCTGCCCCCTCTAATGCAACCTCACCCCTTTCCCCTTTATGGGACATCCTGTGGAACATGGCATTCTGGGAAAGTTTGTCCGAAAGTGCTCTCCCCCCCCCCCCCCCGCCCCATCTTTGGTTCATCATTGCATGGCTTTTGTACCTGTCTGTGAAAGCACTATAGTTCAGTACCCATCAATATGAATTAACATCCATTAGCCCCTGTTTGTGAATAGCCCTGTGACTGAACTGCTGGGATCAGATGAACGGTGAAACCAGTGAATGCTTTGGTGTAAGGGTGGATTGGACTTTCAGATTCAGTCCAGAAGGCCTTTTTTTCTGGCGTGTGGTACTGGGTTGAAATGGTTTACTGCTTTCCTGATGCTTTAAAGACACATTTTTACATTAACTGAGCCTTAAAAACGTATCCAGTATTATTACAACAACATCATATACTCACATAATGTTCTTTTTTGGGGGGGGGGGGGGGGGGGGGGGGGAATAGACTTTTATCTACCAAATACTTGGTTGGACTTTGGGAAGTAGCTTGACAAGTGCACTTTGAGAAGTGGACATCTAAACGTAAGTTTGGCCCTGTGTGGCCAAACAGAAGTCCAGGCAGAGGAGTACCAGAGAACAGGGAGATGGACACTAGATGAATAAATGGACGGATGAGTCATCGGGACTTGTAAAGAGAAAAAAGAAAAAAGACAAAAACCTGTTTAAAGTGATTTATTTAAAATGTAAAGTGTTGTTTCATTTCTCATCTGTGGATGAGACTGCACTACATTGGCTGACACAAGGAGAGAGAAGAGCACTCCAGTTATTATGATTATACAGTGTACTCTAGTTTTCAGTGTGTAAGATGACAAACTGCCACCACAACATCGGACAAATTTCACTTCTTTGCTCTCCAGCTTGCTTGTATAACATTGTGTATATTGCCTTATCGAAACAGATGTTCATATGAAATATATGGTGCATTACTATGACACTGGATTATTTGGTTTTTGTTCAGACAGACAAACGTAGAGGTTGAAGGCAAGAAAGAGACTAGATGCAGACAGAGCAGAACTAATCAGTGTGACCGAGCACGATAGTGAGTAAGTTCCCGTTGTACTGCTGTCATAACCTGCCATGTTGTTCCCATCACACACATATACACACACACACACACACACACACACACACACACACACACACACACACACATACACACCGTCGCTCCTCACCTGCATGAGTTGCGAGATGCTGGGGCAGTAATAATAATACAATCTATGTTGGTAACAAAGGCTGATTCTATGTGAGTTGGGGTGTGGTGTGTTATATCAGTCAAGGGGAGGGAAGTGTTTGATTAAAGGCCCAACCTAAACCCCAACCCCTCCTGGCCTCATCCCACCCCTCGCTATGTGGAATTCCAGGTGGGTCCCAGGCTAATGACTAGATGGCTATAATTACCCAGGGCTGTTGATAGCTGGTGATTGGACATGGTTGTGCCACAGAGGACCTAGTGTGGGCTCCTGCTGGGACCACATTTAATCAAAGGCTTCTTGGCCGGCATATCAAAGAGAATACTTTCCAGCAATCTTCTCAGCCTCGGCCCCCTCTGTTGTCCAGACTCTCAGTCCAGTTCAGTCTCTGTTATAATAGAGCCCAGGGACTCCTGTTCACGTGAATCTAAAGGGATATTGCAGACAAAAAGTAGCATGTAAACATAAATGATAAAAGATTAAGTCATTGCTATTTTACTCAGCAAACAATATTTTTTTCCGTTAGGCTCTAATCCTGTATGCTGTGTTGGTCAATATCTGTCCCGTGGTAAGATCGTCTCTTCTTGCCCAGGCTTGGGACAGGATGCAGCCATGTTCAGGCCTGATTAGACACACCAATGCCATGACACAGGAAATGCAAGGCATCTGCCCTCGATATACCTAGATGCAGGAAGCAGACACAAGCGCAGATACACCAGCTAAGATGAAAGCACAAAATTACTCTTCTGTGTCCCTTCAATCAATACAATATCCTCATGTGTTGCTGCTTTTTAATCAAAATGTTTAATTATGATTCACCTTTCAGTCTACCAACTGCCCCAAAAAGAACCCTCAACATCCTAGGTCTTTTAACAGCCATGGGAGGCCCATATTGTTAGATAAGATATGATTTATTGTCCCTCAGGGTAATATTATCAAGCAGTCATTGAGACTATTCTAGTGCCAACTTCCTGTGGCAGAGTCTATCTGTGTCCTGGATGCCAGGCTGAGAGCATTCCTGTTGCAGTTTCACAGGCAAACCAGTCTTCACAGCTGGCAGGTAGAGCTATAGGCACAGAAATGGCATCAAGCAACACAGGAGGAGGTCAACTTGGAAACATTTTTGTAGGTCAATGGAACTAATTGCAATGTTATTACGGGCTATGAAAATATTGCACTCACCCACTGAATAAGTGAGATCTGGGAAGAGAAATGGGGTTACTAAAAAGATGATCGTACGGGTTTTAAACAAACCCCAGACGAGCCAAAGTTATTTGGAAGAGAAAATAATGGCAAACAGTAAAATGATCTTTGTGACCATCCATCAGTTTACAGACCGACTTTGTGGTTCAATTTGAACTGCAGCACTTGCGGCAGTTGTGCGTAAACGGTTTTCCTTTGTCATGGGGAATTATTATGGACAATATGGGTGCAGTCACTTTTGGTCTTGTTGGTTTGTTTATAATGAATGTCTTGACTGCTTGTATTTATTGCCCCATTGCAGAAATGTCATCGCTGGTTTTAGATCTGATATTCATTTTGTGGGTAAGACGCAAGGACCATATTGTTAGCTAGGCCAAGTAATTTGACTGAAACCAAATCACAGGCACAGTTAGTTCAGGTCAAACTGTGGCCCAGCTGAAATATGTCTTGCTGAAATGAAATGTAAAGGTTTCCCCCCAGGCTGTATGACACAGGCCTGATTGTGTTAAATGTTTATTATGGTCACATTACACTTCCGTCTTATGACGATAGACTCCATCTCCCATTCAATTATATTGAAGCCAGTACGACAGACAAATTAAAACATGCGTTTCCTGTTTCAGTGTGATCTCCAGCTGGCTCTGGCAGTTTCACAGGAAGTGCTTGATTGGCCAACAGTAACACTATTGCACAGGATTTGACAATGGAGAAGTTATTACCTTAGTACATGTACTCTTAAGCAATGTTTTTAGTTTATGGTCGATCAATATTTGTATGTTACCTGCATCCTAGCAGGGACGTCATGTCCTTTTTCTGGACTGAGTGTGAGGCAATGTCGTCGAATGGAAACGTTACGTGACCGTACCTTTACACTGACACACACACATTGCTGCAGTATCTTTAGACTGTTATGCATGCAGCGCAATCATTTATTTAACCCCATCACAGTTCGTCTCAAACTTTTTTTAACACCTCTATATTCTCCCTCACTCTTGACTCCCCCTGTGTCTAGTGACAGTTAGACAGATTAGTTCAGGCTTATGTCCAGGCTGTAATGCATGTCAGCCTGAGATCTGGTTGCCAAATGACAGCAACACTGAGAATAGAGAATAAAGCACACTCTGATTACGTACACAAACATACATGCAACTGCAGGCACACACACACACACACACACAAAAACACAGAGCGTCTGGAGGTACATGGACAGAACGGAGCCCACCACCTAGAATGTGACTAGACTTTAACATCTAAAATCCATCTTGGACTGAGAGACAGAAAAAAGGAAGAGGTGTGAGACAGTGATGAGAGAGAAATGTATTGGGTTACCTAGAGACCTGGCGGGCATGTTTATCAGCAGATTTTAATCTGAGCCGAAAGAACCTCGTTCCCCACAATTCATCATCACTACTCGCCCCACCTGCCACGTCCCTCTGACCGCCTCCCTCCACCTCTCTCCTGCTCCCAGCCTCGGATACAGATTTCTCTCTGGGGGAATCTAGCCAGATACCCCACCAAAAATTGCCCTATAACATTCACCTTGAGGTGGTCCGGGTGTCAGCCATGCGATCTGTTTCGCACACATATTCACATGTACATACCTGCAGGCTAGGATAGGACCCCCTCAGTGCCACCGGAGCTCAGCTATCACCTGTCTGGTAAAGTCCTCGGTATGTTACCGAGCCTTTCTACTCTGTCACTCACTGTTTGTGATCAGAAAGTGCATACAAACATACAAGTGTGTGTGTGTGTGTCGTGGGATGAGTTTACCTCCAGGGCGAGCAGAACGTAGGTCATTTTTTTTCCTGGAGATTGGAGGGGGGGGTCTGATTGAGGTCAGGGGTCATAAAGTTTAGGTGTGTCAACAGAGAACCTTTGTCTCTATGAACGACCAACACTGATCCATCGCCTGTTGACACCTCCGAAACATTAACGGCTTGCTCGAGTAGCTAAGCTCTTCTCTGGCTGTCCAGCGAAGAGGTGATTTCATTCAAAAGAACACCTGCTCTGCTGGATTAAAATCTGGCCGACAGCATAGCTGCCTACAGTGTCAACTCGTCCATTCATCTCTCGTCCTTTCGCTCTGCTGTATCTGATGGGGAGGGTGTCAGCCATTAGGTTTGGGTTGGGAGGTTGTGGGAGCAGTAGGAGGTGCAGATTTATTAGCGAGCTCAGACTAATATTTACATGACCTGCCAGGTACCAGGTAGAGACAGAGAGGGAGAGAAAGTATAGGTATGAGGGAAAAAGAGGATTATGACACAAAACACTTATCTTACAGCAAAACTGCCCCCTTTACTCAAGCATTTCCTATAATGGCTCACAGCAACTCATTTTGATAGCAACCACCCCTATACTATAACAGCCCATGTGACCTCACACACCACCAATTTGTCATCCCCAATTTATCTTTGATATAACTCACTTGCTGCTAGGACACAAGTCAAGCTTAGCGCTGGATAGCAGACTGCAGGCCTGGCTCACAGACAGCCACCATGAGGGTTAAAGGACAAAGAGTGCCGGTGCTGAGCCTGAGTCGGACATTTAAGACAGTTAGTCGCGGTGAATTCTTAACCCTACAAGGTGTTGGCTGCCATGTGACGAGGTTTGCACACGCGCGTGACAGTGTGAGTCTGTTTATCTGCCTCCCTGTGTGGGAATTTACAGACACACCTCGCAAGGCACAAACAACAGTGACCTGGAAAAATAGTCGAAATTCCACTAACATACCAAGGAATCTGGGGGTTTGGGCTGACAATACACACTGAACCACACACACACACACACACACACTCTGACAGACAACGAGAGACAGAGGTGTGGGAAACAGGAGAGATACAGGGTCAGGGTCAAATTGTGTAGGCCTCACAGACATAGATACCAGTGAGTGATACCAGCTGACACACACTGATGCTGACACTAACAGTGATACCATGGCTACCTGAGTGACATTGATAGATAGCGGTGAGCCATCCCAGCGTGCACACACAATCAAACCAAAACTCA